TCAAAGAGTAGTTGGCTGTTACTGATGTTTGAAAGACATTTATAGATAATTTGAAGTGTCCATCGTAACACTGTGAAATTAAAACAACTAAAGATTAAAATCTCAACTGATTACACGTGGCTACCATTAGGAGGAAAGCAATTTGTAATGCAATTATCTAGTCGTTTATCTTTGACGTTATACGACGTAGATAGGTATTGTACCTACTTTATTAAATGTATTTATGTATGTACTTAGGTTATAGTCGTATAGTAGTAGTATTGTTGCACAGTTATGTTGAAGAATTGTTTGATAATGTTAGTTTTATTACCTTATATTTCCAACAGTTCTTAAATAATTTTTTCAATAATATCTAGTGATGAGAACAAGTCGTGCGCCTGATGGTAAGCTTCTATTGGCTATATATGTACATCTTAAATATTATTTGTAAATTTATTTGTGGTTCTCTAATTTTATGTTTCGGAAAACATTGCTTTAAGTTTTTTTTTATAATATCAAGTGACAGGACGGACAAATTGTACACCTGATGGTAAGCTTTAAATCGCAAAGATCTGTGGGGCACTGCCACTGCGCCCGTCACCCTGAGACATAAGTTGAAAAGACGCATGTGCCTGTAATTCACCAGCTCTCTTACTCTTCAAAACCGGAACACAGTGATGCTGACATTACTGCTTGGCGGCAGAAATAGGTAGCAGTACTACTCTGAACGAAGTCTTTCACAAGGAGTTGTACTGCGACTTAATATAGATTACCTAAATATAAAAAATAATAGCTAAGTGCGATATATTTAAGTCAATTTCGTATCTTTTAAATTTCTATTCCCTCTATAGAAGTGCAAAATGGCGCTAAGGCGAAACAACAAAAATCTGCAACAAGCACATAGAAAAAATCGTAAGGTTTGCAGTAGCTAGCTAGGTTTATTCCGTAGCTCAGTAGGGCTAGCACAATAAGGCGCGATTTGCACGAGAGAGAGATCTATGCGAGAATAGCAGTATCTCGCGTTTCATATCGCTCTCGCGCTAGTCGCGCCCTGTCATACCCAGCCTTACACTTGGAGAGCGTCAGCAACGGTATGGTGAAGGCGCTGGACCAGCCGGATCGAATAAATTTCCTAGTGCTCGATCTTTGTATTAATAATTATAACAATCAGTGGAGCAATTTAAAAAAATGAATATCATGGTAGTACAATATAGTGATATTCAATAAACTTAATCGAAGTGTAAAAAAGTTACGTAGCACTATAATTATTATAAAAGAGCTTTTATGTATGCACAAGAAATAAGGCTTAATTTCAAATTTAAATGTCTTGTAAATTGGAAACTAACAAACTTTAACCAGTTCTCCGTAATAAAATCACATAATATGATACGAGTATAAATACTATTAGTACTTACTATTGCCCGGATACTAAGCATACTACCCAAATTTAAATATTTTGCCTATCTCTCTACACTGCCTCGCCTTCTACAAGTAATAAATGTTTAAAAAAACACGACCGTCAAAGAATGTATTGCTTTTACGCTTTATGCGCGTACGCAACATATCACTCAACGTTTGCACAAACCTCCATTATCTCATTCACACGTTACATAAGTCTGAAATGGGCCTATTGGTTCTTAACCTTGGCTACGTGTATTGGTAGTTGTAGTGATTGGAAACTAACTTTGACGTGTTATTGAAAAAGACGGTCGATAACTCGCCTGCAATTTATAGAGGCAATAGGCTTAACAAGGGTCTATATTGTTGCCTTGTTTCTTTTACTAAGTGGTTACTCAGGTGTGCTCTATGGGGAGGTTTTAGGTTGAATGCTATATGACATCGAGTTGTAGGTATTTTGTCTCTTGACTTGAAAAAGGCGTGGAATGGTAATGGTTTGACCTATCTTTCAAGCAGAGGCCGTGGGTTTGAATCCCGGGCTCTCTCATCTCTCAGTTTCTCCGAATTTATGTGCGAAGTTTAATTTTAAATTTACTTTGAGCATCATCAACATCGCGATGAAACCTGCACGTCGAAGAAGATCCACAAAGACGTGGGAAGTCCCCAGCCCGCACTTGGCCAGTGTGGCGGACCATGGCCTAAACTCTCGCCTAAGAAGAGACCCGTGCCCAGCAGTGGGACGTATAAATGAGTTGATGATGATCTTTCGTGTTTTAAGAAATAGATGCCATTTATCTCGTATTCAACATGTAAAATCATAAGAAAGAATACACAGTATCACAGTTTATTTGTTAAATCATGTACTACATTAGTACGTTGAAACGTTGTTGTACAAAGTAGCTTAAAATATATTTAACGCCAAATCTTTCGAGTTCAATCCATTTTTGCACCAACACCGTGTTGCAGGTGCTAAAACCATATTACGGCTTACAAACAGGTGCTAAGCTTTCGGATTCGGCACACCATAGCTCGGTTTAAAACGGCCGAAGATTAGCTTTGAAATTAATGCCTCGACTAAACCGTCAGCTTATAGCGTAATCATGTTTTAATAGTGTACCTTGAACGGTCCGCAATTTCAGAAAGATCCGTGCAAATTATAGGGAAACGTCTTTATTAGATAACCTGTTTTGTACTAGTTTTATTGGACTAATTGCTGTGAGTATTGAGTGCAATATAATGGAGTAAAGAAAATAGTAAGGCGTCATTAAAGTTCTAAAGCACTGAAGTGACCGATCGAAGGCGCTATTCGTGTTAAAGCGCAATAAAATTTGATGGAAGAAATTAAAAAAAAATTTTGTTTACTCCCCATTGACCACCCACATCGATGAATTTTGACATATAAATTTAACCTCACCAAATAACGAGGTCCCGGATTCGATTCTAGGTAGAATTAATTTTGGAAATGAACGTTTCTAAATTGGTACTGGTCTTAAGTGTTTTAGGTATTATTCCGGAGTTAAATTTGTTGTCGCACTCATAATAGGTACAGGGAATTCCCTAGTTTGAAACCAAGTATTTCATGTAATTATTTGGTACATTATTATTATTATAAATGTAATATTGTATTTTCCATTCCTCTATAACACAGAACGCCTATGGTATGAAATTGCACCTCATATTAAGAAACCGTTTTTCTTACACCAATTCTCTTGCTTTTTAAAAACTTAAACAGTGCTTATGCATTTTAAAGTAAGACTATTTTGTAAATAATTAAATATATATTCGAAACTACTTTTGCAAAAACCTTCATTTACTTAATCACTGCAAGGAACTGCATGAAGTATGAAGGAAATGTATTTGTTTTACATTGTAACTAAATACGTCCTGGCTTTAGTGTAATGTATTTTTGTAACATAAAATTGTAAATTTTGATGTATTGACCATTAACATACAAATAGATAGAGGTAGACAGGGAGAATAGATGAGGTTTACCTATAAATGTACAATTTTGTTTAATTTTTCAGTAATAAAAAAATAACGATTGTTGTTAAGTTGCAAATACTCCTTATACTTTTCTTAGGCAACATTGTATCTTGTCTAAACATGCTATACTCTGAAGTTTCCTCTAAGTTATTACATTTTGTATAAAGGCGTGTGAAGTTTTTATAAACGCCTTAATGAATATCATGAAAGCTTATTGAGTGTTAACATCTTTTACTCACGCCATGATACTTTGTGTAAGTGACAGATCTTTTTTGTTAATCCATAGGCGATGAAAATGATAAACCAGAGGTAGAGTAATGGAAGCCAGTAAAACGGTTTTTTCTAAGGAGAGCACGCTGACCCAATTTGGGGACATTACACGTTTTCCAGGGGTTGTGAACCTTTTTCGACTTGCAGGTTTCATCACAATATGTTTTATTGACCGTTAGGGAGCGATATTGCTAATAAACATTCACAAATGTATGCAACTTTGATTTTATTTTTATAATATAAAGTGACGGGACGCATAAGTCGTGCGCCTGATGGTAAAATACACGCCTGTCCTTAACAGCTGCAATACCGCTCAAACTTTTAAATCGCAAAAATCTGAGGGGTTTTCCCACTGCGCCCATCTCCCTGAGACATAAGTTGACAAGTACCATGTGCCTGCACCCTGCGTACAATTTCATCAGCACCCTTACCCTTCCAAACCGGAACGCAGTAATTACTTACATATTGTTTGGTGGCTGAAATAGGTAAGGTGGCAGTACTACCATGGACGAACAAGAGTTGTTAAAGATCACAAGGACCTCTACTGCTATAATTAATAGTCATAGAGATATACACAGAGATTCGGACCGTCGAACTCGAATTGAGCGGCAATTTACTGGGTTGCTACAGGTCAACAAGGATTTAAAAAAAACGCTAAATCAATATAATAAACAATTTTAGGGCGAGTTTGACCTAAGTTCTATTTTGGATTTGAAGAAATACTTAAGCAAGTTTTTGACATACCTACATACGGAAAGCATTATTTTCAGTTAATTAATAATTCTGTGATAAAGTTGTCTGATATACCGAATGTTATTATTATTGATACAAAGACCGAATAAACACAAAGAAAAACTCCTTCGATCCAAATGGACGCGAACCAGCATCTGTAGTCACGTAGAGGCGATGATGATAATATTAATAACAAACTACTAGAGATTAATATAACTGTAGTAAAAACACCGTGATATTGAAATTTATGAATAATACAATGAAATTTATACACAAAAAGACCGAGCACAAAAGTTTGTGGAATTACATCTATTTGCTAAATATTGTTGAAATCGGTTAACGGAAAGTGCGTCAAATCCAGATTCATCTCCTAATTTGCCATCATCAGATGTGGAATATTTTCTTCAAAATTGCATAGAACTATTCTTTCCAACAAAAAAAGAATCATGAAATCGGTTCACAAATGTCGGAGTAGTTGCGTAACATACACAAAAAATACAGTCGAATTGAGAACCTCCTCCTTTTTGAGTCGGTTAAAAATACCTAGTCTACCCAGTTTGCGTAGAACAGAATGTCCTTCAAAATGAGATCAAAGTTGACGATCTTACCGACTACTAACTATACAACAAAAGGATTACCTTGATAAATCCTTAACCCGTAGCAAACTTTGACAATTGCCGAGCGATTCTAGTGATGTGCAACGATTTGCGTTTTCGTTAATTCCGCGTCGGGCCCGGTCCGAATTTGCATTTTGCACGCGTGATAAGTGGCCAGGATTACACAGGATTCAACCAACAGCCTCTGTTTGTCCTGAAATAAAGGGCTGTTAAACTTTTTTCATGGTAATTTGGGTCACCTTCAAGAGGAACGATTGTTGTAAATTTGTTTAAGTAGGCTCAGATCCGTACCGTTTGTTTAAATTACATTGTTTAAGGTAAGGCTTATTTTTAGCTCATTTTAGAGTCTAAAGTATACTTGTGAATATGTCGAGTTTAATTTTAAATCTTTGAAGATCTGTCAAGCAAATATCTAGAGATGATTTATGTTGTCAACAGTAGGTACCTATATAACAGGTAAGTACTGCAACAAATTTGTTAATATTCAAGGTTCCAAGCAACTTAAAATTCAATTCAAAAGTCGTGCTCTTCTATTCCTCGCGATAGTGTGAAAGAATTCTTGACCTCTTTAGTTGTTATTTGACATTCTCTTTTAGTTGCTCATTAAAGCTATGTTCTCTTCTTAGTTTCCTTCTGTTTTCCCCTCAAAACACAATACTTAGGCTTTAGGATACAACACAGTAAGTTAAAACCACAATGTATCACTATCTAAATAAGTGACGTCCAGTAACTCGGTCCTATTTTTCCCTCCTTGATTAATGCGAGCCACCACAACGCAGCGCGGCTGACTTCCAAAATTTCCACACTAAATCTCATTTCTTTTCAGTTCTTTTGCCCAAAGTCTTGGCAACGTATTTTATCTCTGTAATGCAACGTTGCAGTAGGTAAATAGTTAAAATGGTTAAGCTGCTTATTCTTAAAACGCTACTGAATTAATGGGACCTATATTAAATTTTGTTGTTTTCTTCCAAATTGAATTTTTGTGGTGGCACTAAATCGTTTGGTTACAAAAACACCAGAGTAAATACATGAGTAATTGTATTATTCACTTTACATCATCATTTACTTCGTCACATCTCTATAAAGTGACGTAGAAAGCACAACCATAATTTTAAAGTAAAATTTGTTGATTAAAATTACAATTTTGGCAAATAATTGAGATCTACGCGTGTTTAAAGTTAATTGTATAATCGAAGGTTTTAAATGGTTTGTTTTTTAGAAGCCATTGGTAGAAAAACGAAAGCTATATACCTTTGTACAACTAAGCCTAAAAAAATGCTTCAGAAAAAATCTCCGGATAAATACTCGAGAAAAAACTAACTAACTCTCTTGATTTTCAGCAGCAGCACAGTTTGTATGCAGATGCGTCCATACATCAGTGTCCTATTTAGAATTCAGAGTCGTTGAGTGCGACCCAACTTCCACAATATCGCACTTTGCTCACTGTGCTGAGTACATTGGATGAGTGAAGTGCATATTTTAAGTGCATTGTAAGATGTAAGATTTGTTTATTATATTTGAAAAGCTCACAACTAACTTAACATATCATAATTCCATGGAAACAAGCACATGCATATTAAAAGCTTGGAAGTATGAAAGTAATTAAAATGATAATTAATAACATTTAAAATAATTAACTAATTTAATCATCTTTCCTTTCAATTCAATATAAATTAAGTTATTATTAATTCAACAACATTTGTTTCAGTTTTTTGATATCAGAAAAATGCTATTTTATTACATTATCAAGTTCATTTTTGTAAAAAAAATATTAAGTGTGTCTTTTCATTAAAGCAAACGATTCAATGCATCAATGTTATTACCAAGACGCCGAAGGTTTTTAACGCATGCGCCGTCGGTCGCTGCAATGTTGCTTTCCGTCGGTATAAAAGTTATAGGTCATTGAAAGGCCAAATTAACCGATGAATACTTTATAACATAAAACAATAGGTCTTGAAAATATGTAGTACACACAATGATAATAAAGCTTTTGATAAACAAAGTAGTGAAAAATCGTTAGATTTTGTCGTAAGAAGTCAATGAACATTTCATAGCTTTCATGCAATCGAATTTACTTAAATAATTTGAGTTTTATTATAAAATTGTGGTTATTTCTAGTCACAGATACAGTATTTACTAAAAACATTTAATATAATTCACATTTTTTTTTTATTTGGGAGAAAACATACAAATTGTGAAGTAGGTATTTACAACGCTGCGGTAAACTTTTTAGAAATTTGTTCTATCTGACCAAATCAAATTACCAACAAAAATATTACGCTATTATCTTTATCGTATTTTAACATTGTAATGTAACAGAAAATTAAAATGTCTACTCGGAAATGTTTGGAAAACAAAGCTTTCCGAACTGAACTTAGCTTTAGGTAGTCCGGAACTCGCGGCGTCCTTTCGATTTGTTTCTTATTTTAGCACCAATTCTGAATAAAACTCGTCGAAATTTAACAACTAGGGCTGTAACACTATTAATTTCACTCGAATTATGCTATAATTTACTTAAAGTAAGATAGAAAGTAAGGAAAACTGACAAAAACATTGTGGAAAACACAGAGACACGAGGTGCGCATTGGTTTCAATAGAGGGCAGCTCATTCGCGTCATTTCAATATGGCGATGACTCTACGCACTCTGATTGGTCGTCTCATGCATTGCCTTGAAGTTGGCTCGAGTGAGCGAGTGAGGGGGATTTATGTGATGTTTTGGCGCCGATGAAAGACGGAGAATGTGTTGGAGGGAATACATTTGTATGCCAGCGACGTCCGGGACCGGTTTTGACAGAGGCGTTTACGAAGTGTGTGTATGTGCGTTCGGTTATGTGCCGAGGGCAGGTAGAGATCGCGCTACCTATTTATAATGATGGATTATAGCCTCTGCAGACTGGCGAATTAAACATTTAATTTTATAATACTTTTGTTTTCTTGTTGCAGGTAAGGAAATACTTGGATTAATGGTGGGGAGGTAAATTACTGGTAGGTACTTAGTAGTACAAAAAATTATAAGGAAACTAAAGCAAGCAAAGAACATTAATTACGGCTGGAAACACTAAAATCAAGACTAAAACAAGTCGAATTAATAATTGAGTAATTAAGCCCAGTAGCAATAAAAGCAAGTGAAGTTAAGTCCATGTTGCAATATTAACATTGAATACTGAACTCAACGCTCTGGACACTAAAGTTGACATTGCGATACAGATTTCAAATCTTTTTAAGTACAGATTTTAATTTGATTGATCGCTTAGATTAATTTGTCACGGTTCACTGCGGAGTGCAGAAACTGCAGATATAATTTACAATAGATTTATTCTCGGACAGGCAACACTGCACTATTGTCTGGAATAAAATCTTGATACTTATTGTAAAATGCATAAAATTAGACATTGCTGTATCTCCTTCGTGTGTAATAAGGTGTAAAAGATTACATTTTTTATGATACCAAGTGACGGAACGAATAAGTCGTACGCCTAGTAATAAGCGACACCTCGGTCCATAACAGTTGCAGTGCCACTCAGAGCTTTAAATCACAAAGATCTGAGGGGCACTGCCACCGCACCCATCACAAACACACACATACATAGACATAAGTTGACAAGTCCCATGTGCCTGTAGTTTCACCAACACACTTACCCTTCAAAATCGGAACACAATAATGCTCACATTACTGCTTGGCGGCAGAAATAGGTAAGGTACTAGTATTTTTGCTGTACGGATAAGATCGCAATACTGGTAATGAGCTTAAAATGCACCAACATCGTAGTATGTGTAACACCAGCCACACCCACGTAAAACAACCGAGCGGAAGCGGGAATATGTGTCGTAAACAAAAAGGCAAACATAGCCTAAGCCCAATGGGCTAAGATAAATTTATTTCATCGTATAACCACCAATAAATATGCTAATTCAAACACTATAACGTCCGTATGTCGCCTAGCCGTTCCGCCATTGAAAGAGTGAAAAAGATATCACAAAATTGCACTGCGCATTCCTCTTTTCAGTCATACAACCTTCGAAAGGCACTACGCGAAAGTTTACTCTGTTTCTTTCCATCCTGGGTCGTATTTTTCTCTTCCAAATTTATAGAGTTACGTCCTTCTAGCGTCGGTTCCGAGTTTTATCGACCTACGGCAACTACTAACCCAATAAATTTTGGTGTTTCGCTCAGTGAATCCGTTCGTTGAACGAATGCATCGTCCCAGATACGAATGTGCGGGATTTGACTGAAACGATTTATCTCTATGGGACTTATGACTTGGTACAATAGGAATTTATCAAGTTATAGTATTCTGTCATGAAGAATAAAGCTTTCGTCGCATGCCACATGGAATGCTATGAAGTAATTCCTTCGTTTTTGTATTGACTCTATTTTCGTTTACCCTTTATGTACAGTCAGATGCAAAATTCAAATCAGTTTAGAACAATGTATCACTTAATTACCAAAAGACAATTAAAATATAAATGAAGAGCTCAACTTAATCTACAAAATGAAAACAATCAAAACCAATATTTAATTGATGGGCAAACCTTAATTAACTTGTAGTTCGGCGGCGTTCCCAAAGCCTCTCAGATAAAAGAAGCCATCTGCATTTCGGTATTCAAATTATTTTCCAAACGTGTTCTCGTTCTAACTGTGGTGGCAATAACAAAATCATTGCATCACATTCACTCTTGCGCATATCGAGCTTGCGCGAGCTGCGTAACCCTTCACTCAGGAATTCTTAGCGTTGAAAGGGTAATATAACAAACGGACTCATATGGAGCCGAAATAAAATGAACAAAAAACTCACATCACAAAAGTTTAGCCTAAACTAACCTCGTTAAGAGATTCCAGGATAAAAGAATACCGTTTTTCAGTATCGTCACGATTGTCCAAGCGATCGGATAGCTCGATCGATGGTGCATTACTAGTGAGTTTTTAACAATTTCTGCAAAACTACTCTATTTAAATGTTTGTATTGTGATGTAACAGTTTACTATTCAGCAATATAGAGAAAGTTCGTTTAGTGCAATGGACAAAACAATATAAAGCGTTTTGAGCTATTGTTCGAGAGAAAGTCGGTAAGGGTAAAAAACTCCTTTGTACCTGCCAAAGAAGAGGTTAACGGTTTTATGTTTTTTAGTTCCGAAATGGCATCGTTATAGAATGCTTGTGTGTTTTCTTATTAAAAAGTGTATCATAGTTGTATAGTGAAGTGCACGAAAAAGGCATCACATAGGCAAATTGTGATTTTTGTAAACATCAGGTGGGTACTTGAAAATAGCAGGTTTTTCATTCCATAAATAAACTAAATGACATGAAAAATGAACGGATGGAAGCGAATTTTCTCCGGAAAAAAAATTAATCGAGAGCGGCATGTTTATGAATTTAATCCAACGGACATGTTGGTACCCGGTGTACATTTTTCTGTACAAATTAGCGCCGTGTTTGCAGGTTTTTTGTTGTTTGATACAAACAGTGTTAGGCAATTTCAATGACGCATTGTGTAGCATGTACCTATATACCACAGCCATATGTAGGCATAACCAACGAAGTTGATATTGCAAATGATATACAATAGTTAAATTTGTCACTGCAATTTAGTTGCATGTATACGACCTAATACGGAATAACATTTTGTACCGATGATTTGTCGACGACCAATTGGTGCACTTGGTCGTTATTTCTTTACGACTAGATATATATTTACGTACTTGATGGCAAACAGTATGGCACTGGAAAACTGCCATTTAGAATGATGACGCCCCTTCGAAAAATGTCGGTAGGTACTAATGATTAGTTCACTTAGGTAAATCGCGAAACCCTTTTTGAAATCGCTTAATTTATTAGAACAATTCAATTACTTCTTGTAATACAAAACAATATGTATAATAATTATTATAATAGCGCAATTGTACTGTCCTATAACATTGCTATCTATATCAACACGTACCATTTCCATTCTGTCCCATTGACATGAGTCGTAAGTGCTTCGTACACCTTGGCGTCCCATTCCGGTTAAAACCCTAAGGGCCGTTCAAGTCGCCTCTCAGAACAACAACGAACATGTTGAATGCCTTTACGCACATGCAGACACAAAGGAGAGACGCTTAATTAAACTAGCGGAGAAGGCAAGCGAAACGTAAGCATTTAATTTATATCCCTGCAGTAAACTCCGCGGGCTCTTCTCTCATGGTGCAAGTTTATACGCAGAGCGAGAAATAAGCAGTAAAAACTCTTGTATTTAAACTACTTAAATAAAGAATCATCGTTTTGCCCAATACATCTCAATACACCAAAAAATGCCCCTACAATTTTTTTCAATAATCGCGTACAAAAATACACTTTGTAATTAAGCATTGAAATTTGTGTATAACTTATAGATAGAAAGTAAATTAATTTATTCCGTACCAAAAATGGAATTAAAAAATCAGATTGAGGTATTTGTAGCAAGTTTCCGTTTATTAATGACTGACAAAGTCAAAGGCAGAGCGTTACATGCATTACCTACACAGATGCTTTAAACTAGCCTAGGACGTATGCTCAATTACCTGCTTAGTGATATAGAGCCTACTATGAATATAATAAATACTGAATATTACATATTTTTATCTAGTATCTCTGATGTATGAATCTGACGTATGAATTTATTTCGCCGATTTTAAAAAATGATCTCGCTTGCTCTATTAACACAAACCGCTCCATTTTCGTAGTATCTAGTTGTGGAAAAACTCGCCTTAGCAGTACGCGGACAAGAATAAACTATTTTAATTACGTTTTACTCGACTATTGAGTCGGAAAATGTAATTATATGTGTCGGTGTTTAATTGATTGCTTAAAAGGACTGCCGCCCGTTTCTAGTTCATTTGCCGTCTCGAATTATTTATCTGTGCACTTATCTACTTGGTTTTTCTTTTTCCTCGTTAGCAAGTGTATTTTAAAATCTTAGATATCATTGTTAGTTCGTTTAATACTTACATTCCTACAAAAATGTTTTTGTACATATATTGACCACGTGTAAGCTTCTAAGACTGTGCCGTAATTTATAGGGGTAGTGGGGCTTAAGAGCGAACTTTAGACAGTGGCTATCACTATAAATCATAAAGATCGCAGAGATAGTAAACTAGTAGCCCTGAAGTAGAGGTAAACCTATACGGTTTTAACATTATTGAAACTAACGGTTATTAATAGGTAGTAGGTACTTAATGTCGTAAGTAATACAATTTTCATATATCGAAATATGTGACAGGAATACAAGAGCACTAAAATATTTAATAAAAAATCTTATTGTACGCTAACACATACTAAAGAGTCCGAGGGTTTGCTTAGATTTAATTTTATTCTAATAATGAAATAAAATTAAATCTAAGCAAACATTTTGTTTGTTTGCTTAGATTTAATTTTATTCATTTATGCAAACAAAAATTACATTTATTAATGACAACAAAATGAAACATTAATTAAAAGCACAAAATTAAAATCTAATTTT